GTCCTCTTAACCAAACATGATATTCTCTAGAATCAGCCACATGGCTTAGAACCGAGGATGCGTGGTGGAAAAACTCAGCGATAATAGCCAACAATCCACTAAAAGACTATCAACTTGAAAAATTTTAATTTCACTTTGCATATTAGTGGGGGAGGACCACTTACTTGTTGGGCTGACAACCTTGATGTTACCTTTACAGGGTCCAGGCACTGTTGAAGGTCCCCAGGAATTTCTACTTCTAAATCACAAAGGAATGAGAATTTGACTTCTTTTTCATTGTAGAATAATAAACATCATATGACATTTATCATATTACCATTCTTGGTGGATAATTCAGTGGCACTGTGAGCATTCATAGTGCTGTGTGCCATTGCTACTATTTATTTACAAAACTCTTTCACCACCTCAAGCAGAAACCCTATCACTATTCATTCTCTTTCATTCCCCGCTCCCTCCCCTGGTGACTTTGGTTCTGCCACCTGTCTCTGTGAAGTTGTCTAATCTAGAGATGGCATATAAATGGAATTATACAGCATCACTTTTTAGGATCCAGTTTATTCTACTATAATGTTTTTAACATTCAGCCATGTTGTAACGTGTCTCTGTATTTCATTCCTTTTCATGACTGAAAAATATTTCATTGTAGGCCTATGGTGAAATTTGTTTATCCATTCTTCTACTGATGGATAATTAGATTGCATTACCTTGGACCCTGTGACTAATGTCAATGGCAATTAACAGCTAATGACAATCCTTACTACCCTAATTGTAAAAGAATGACATTTAACCTGTTGTGATTAATCTCTTCCCTGCCTTAAACATTTTCAGTGAGCCACATCCTCTCCAAATTAATGCCTTAAACTGCATACCAAACTAGCCTGAATTTATTCTTGAACCTCAGTTCAAGAATAATTACCTCAGTTTGGTAGTTATTTGGGGGGTCAGTCAAAATAAGTAAAGAGAGGAATGAAAAGCAAGCCAGGCATGGCAACATAAGACAAGGCCAGAGGAAACGTATAAAGTGGTCCATACCTCTGTCCATGTGGTATGTAGGTCACAGTTTCTGTGATCAACACTAACTCTTTTTTTTAAATTTATTTAACTTTTTATTCTATGTGCATTGGTGTGAAAGTGTCAAATCCCCTGGCACTGGAGTTATAGACAGTAGTGAGCTGCCATGTGGGTGCTGGGAAGTGAACCCGAGTTCTCTAGGAGAGCGGTCAGTGCTCTTAACCACTGAGCTATCTCTCCAGCCCCAACACTAACTCTTGACCAAGCAAAGAGAGAGGATCTGCCATACGCTACAGGGTCTATTGGGGAACCGAACAGACCAAAAAAACTCAAGTAGCCCATAAAAGTAAATGTAGGTGTTCCCAACATTAAACAACCTGGGAACTGGGGGGAACGCTTGGCAGAATAGGTTATCTCTTATCAACTTTCTCACTGCGACTACAAACTACGATTTCATTCTCCCACAGAAGGGAGAAGGGGCAGCACACACAATACGGTTGAGAGAAAATGGGGGTGGGGAAAAGGTCCCAGATGGTTCTCAACCTGTGATGGAACTTCCTTTAACAGAAATGAATCCCACGTATTGAGTCACATATTCTCGAGGGTGACTTCTTAATTACTTTATATAACAACAACAAAAAACAAACCAAACAAACAATCCCCCCCCAAAAAAAGCAAAAAACATTTGGGCCATCGAGAAAGTGACTGGGGAAGTCCTTCTGAATATATGTTTCTCTTATTGGTTGATAAATAAAACACTGTTTGGCCAATGAGGCAGGAAGATAGGAAGGACAAGGAGACGAGGAAAATTCTGGGAGAGGTAGGCAGGAGAGCACACCTGAAACAGTTGCCATGTAGTAGACAAAGGAGTAGAAGGTCTGGACATTCTCTGGTAAGCCAAGACCATGTGGAAATGCATAGATTGATAGAAATGGGTCAATGATTAAGATAGAGCTAGCCAATAAGAAGCCCTAGCCATCGGCCAACAATAATTAATTAATAGAGTGTCTATGTGTCTATTTGGGGCTGAGAAGTGGTGGCGGGACACAGAATCTCCACAACACATCTCTGCCTCCTGAGTGCTGGGATTTACAAGTGTGCGTCATGCCCAGCTGGGTAACACATTTTTGGGGGGTGTGGGTTGGTTGTGAGCCTAGCCTTTAACAGCTAAGCCATCCCTCCATCCCAGAAACATAATTTTTTTTCTGACAAGAATAGTGTCTTAGGGTTACTATTGCTGTTATGAAACACTAGGATCAAAGCAACTTGGGGAGGAAAGGTTGTATTTTGCTTATACTTCCACATCACAGTTCATTATCAAAAGAAGTCAGGACAGGAACTCAACCACAGCAGGAACCTGGACGCAGGGGCTGATACAGAGGCCATGGAGGGGGGCTGCTTACTGGCTTGCTACCATGGCTTGCTCAGCCTACTTTCTTACAGAGTCCAGGACCACCAGTCCAGGGATGGCACCATCCACAATGGGCTGGACCCTCCCCCCATCAATCACTAATTAAGAAAATATCAGTCTGGTGACAGTGGCACACGCCTTTAATCCCAGCACTCCAGAGGCAAGGGCGAGTGGATCTCTGTGAGTTCGAGGCCAGCCTGATCTACACAAAGAAAACTGTCTTGAAAAGAAAAGAAGAGAAGAGAGTTATAGGTAGTTGCAAACTGCCTGGGATAGGTGCTGGGAACTGAACTCGGATCCTCTGGAAGAGCAGTGAATGCCCTAAACCACTGAGCCATCTCTCCAGCCATATTTGTCCTTCTTAACTTACAAATTTGAAAGCATGCTGTGTGATGAGTGTGGAGCATCTACTCCCCTCTAAAAAAGCGTGAGGGGGCGGGATTAGAGTTGGTAAGAGTCTGGGAGAAAGAGAATACTGCCTATGGAGGACATCGAACAATAAAAACATGTTTCATTATGAAAAACATGCAAAGAGTTCAAATCCAAGAAGAGACAAAGACAGTCATGGTGGGGCGAATGAGAATGGCGGCTGCCGCTGGTGGAATGGAGTGGCATTTAAGTGTGACAAGGAAGAAGCAGGTTTTAGAATGTCACCATGCTACAGGCTAATAGACCTTTAGACACTACTGTGTCTTCTTATTCTGGTGAGCACAGGCATGACACCCACCAAGGCCTACATGGAGGTCAGAGGGCAGCTTCCTGGAGTCGGCTCTCTTTCCCCCTTCCAGGGATCAAATTCAGGTGGTTATGCTTGCTTGGCAAATACTTTTTTTTTTTTTTTTTGTTCGAGACGGGGTTACTCTGTGGCTTTGGAGGCTGTCCTGGAACTTGCTCTTGTAGACCAGGCTGGTCTCCAACTCACAGAGATCCTCCTGCCTCTGCCTCCTGAGTGCTGGGATTAAAGGCGTGCACCACCACCGCCCGGCTAAATTCGCCCTGCCCCGACCCGGAGGAGGAGAGAGCGAGAAAGAGGCAGCAGGAGGCAGCGGCGGCGGTGAAGGCAAGGGCAAATACTTTTAACTGCTGAGCCATCTTGCCAGCCCAACACTATATAGATCACGGCGCACGGGGGGAGGGGGAGACATTCAAAGGGATCAGATTTCATCAAATGGGACTCAAGATTGCAACGTTTCACCCCAAGAAAGTTCTAGCTCAGAGAAGAAAAGTAGCTACAAACACTGTCATTAGAAGGAAGTATACTAAAATCTATTACGTAATTTAAAAGTCATCAAAAATAAAGAAGGGGGTTGCTGAGAAAAGACAGTGACGTGCTGGCCGCACAAGCATGAGGACCGGAGTTCAGATCCTGAGCAGCTATGTAAAAGCCAGGTAGGTGCAGTGGCTCGCCTCTGTAATCCCAGGCTGGGGGGTGGGGTGGGGGTGGTGGAGACATTGCAGATCAACAGAGCTCACTGAGCAGTCAACCTAACCACATCAGAGAGCTCCAGGTTCAGTGAGAGACACTCTGGCTCATCACATAAGGTGGAGAGCAATTGAGGAAAATACATCAGCCTGCGGTCTGCACACACATGCACACACACGAACATGGCCATGTGTCGCTCACACCTGCACACACAACAAAGATCTACCGGAAGGTGCCTGGGTGATAATTGACACAGAAAGTCAAGTTCAATGTTGAAAGCACTTGTAGTCATAGACACAAGGTATGTTTTTAAAAATTCAAAAAAAAAAAAAAACAAATAGGAGTTTTGACCAAAATTCTTGCCCCAAGATAGAAATGGGCATTAAGTGTGCCCATAGAAATGCTTGTGGGAATGCACAAAAGCTAAAAAGTAATTTAAAAATAACGTTTTGATAAAGTCTTCGGCCTAGATGTTCTTGGGACGTTTATGGTTTTATCCTCAGTCTATTGCAGATTTCAAAATAAAAAAAAATGTTTTAAAATAGTATATGTCAACCTTTTGGTACAATTCCAATGAAATAATACTCCACAATGTGAGCATCAGCTGACCAGTCCCTTTCAGGACTGCAAGGCTGCCGTGTGAATTAAAATCCGCAGGGTGTCAGAGACAGGGAAGCACAGAGGAAATGCCTTTCTCACTCAAGAGAGTAATGGAGACACGGGCAGACTT